GAATCACAGATCTATACCTCTAAAACAAATAATGCAATATATGTTAAGAAAAAAAGAAGATAGCAGGAGGGGAAGAATGAAGGGGGGAAAATCAGAGGGGGAGACGAACCATGAGAAACGATGGATTCTGAAAAACAAACTGAGGGTTCTAGAGGGGAGGGGGGTGGGGGGATGGGTTAGCCTGGTGATGGGTATTAGAGAGGGCATGTTCTGCATGGAGCACTGGGTGTTATGCACAATGAATCATGGAACACTACATCAAAAACTAATGATGTAATGTATGGTGATTAACATAACAATAAAAAAGTTAACAAATAAAGTATTTCCAAAATGAAAAAAAAGAAATTAAATGCAAAACTTCTTTTTAAAAGTAATATGCTAAAATCCTACCTACTAAAATCAGGAATAAGATGGACATGCCAACATTAATGATCAATAAGAAAAAAAAAGAAAGTGTGAGAGTATTGGAGAACAGAATAATAATTTTGATAATTAATAACTGCAACAAAAAAGAATTACTTAGAATCATTGTAGCAACACTGGCAGTATTGGAAAATGGGTGCTTTTAGGAAAAATTGTGGCAGACTTATATACTACAAAACTAGTAAGCCATTGGAATGATAAAGTTCCCTCTGTCTATCATCTATCTAACACAGAAAATTTTCATGACATGATGCTAACTATAAAGTAAATTGTATAACAGTATGTGAGACTAGTTCCATTAAAACACACATAAATATTTTCAGGCCAGGTTTTTGTATGCTTCCTTTAACATGTTACCTGTCACAAAATTGCAACATATGAATGTAATTAATCCAAAGGGTAAACTTTACATTAGACTTGTTACAAAACCAAAGTTACTAAAAGCAAAGTTGTCTCTTCATCCCAGGACACCATAGGATCCTTGAGGGTTTTTTGGCTACCATATGTGTTCTAAGCCCTACTGTTTTGTATGGAGACATAAATTAGGTGGAAGCACCTAATTTATAATTTCAAGAATAAGGAAGATATAGGCTCCCCTGCTGTTGTTCTGATGAACTCAGCAGGGGTGGACAACTTCGCAATGAACTTTCACTATTCCCTTCTGCCCTCAAGCAGAGTCTAGTTGCTTAGCAACTAGATAACCACAGGAGAGTATGTGGTATAGAATTTTTGGAAGCCTAACATTGGCTCATGATGGAAAAGTAACTCAATTGATAGGAAAGAAAAAAGAAAAGACAATGCAAAGAATAAGCCAGATAAAAGTCACTTGCACA